AAAACATCCATTCAGTTCTTTCACAATGTTAAAGTCCACTAGCATTTTGAAATAATGTATCTGTGTCACTGCAGTGGGAACTGACGCTATTGAAAAGCTTGAAAAAGACTCACAGAAGGTATTGACTCTTGACTCCATTTAGCAGACGCTTTTATCCAAAGCGACTTACAGTGATAGATATATGAATAATTTATAGTTCAGATGTGTATTATATGATTTGTATCATCAGTCTCATTCTTTTGTCTCAGCCTCAGTTACGGCGTAGAATCAGTACAAACATCATTGCAAAGCAAATCCAGGTTGGTGCACAATGAGTCTCAACCATTCATCTTAATTTAGTTTAAGTGCACTTGTAATTTTCTTTTCTTTTTCATTTGAAGAAGCAAAAAATAAAGGAGTCAGAAGCTATATTATCTTCAGTGACCAATGAGATTTGTGAAATCACAAAGAAACCAGACCACACAGATGACTGCCAAATGAGCAGAGGGTAATTTGGATACATCTGTACATTTATATTTGCAATGTAACAGAAGTAGTGTCAGATCTTTTCTTCTGTATAGACAGCTTCAGGGATGATGTATTTTTGCAGGCCAAAACCTAGAAACAAGTTAGCATTTTAGCACTTTCGGTTCTATCCTCCTGAAGTCAGTTTGAAGTCAATTTTTTCACTGGGTTTTGGGTAAAAGCTTCAAATAAGGTCTGTGGTTAAGACCAGTTAAAGTTATTTTCACGTATTCTATGACCTTAAATATTTTAAAGATTTAAAGCTTTTATTTATTTTGAAAAGGTGCTAACAGCTGGTTAAATGGGACTGCAGAGGTTGTCGGGATGTTAAATGCCATCATATCGCACTGGTAAACTCATCTAATCACTAGTCTGCTTTCACAACTTCATTGTGTTTATAATCGCACTCTCGCAAACTATTTTAACGCAAACTTTCAGAGTAAATAAAGACTGAAAGAGTTGTTGACAGCTAAGTAGTTATGTAGTTAATTTATAGCCTACATTTAGCTTTTTACTTCTGCCAGTTGTATGTTCTTCAAAATAAATAAAAGTTGTGTTCATTTGTGAATATTATAATGATGAACAGAATATGTAAGGATCGTAAACTTTTGTTGGTTTGATCTTATTTTCTACAATAATCCAAAAGCCAGTGGAAAAATCCCATTGGGTTTTTGTCCAGGGAACCAGTGTGATGCTAACTTTCAGGTTGGCCTGCAAAAATACATCATCACTGTAGTCAGTGATGTACAGATGAGAAAACAGATTATTGAAAATATATATATATATGCTGGAGACTTGATTCAAGTCTCTTTTTTTTTAACCAATGATATACACAGAACAACCATTCACAGTAAAATCATTTATAAAATATATACAGTGAATTTTTATCAACGTGAAATCAAATTTTAAACTATTGACTGACTTTATACACATTTCTAATGTCCTGTAATTTTTTCTTGTTTCATACCCTTTTTTTTAACTTGGGAATACATAACATTTTGGAGTAAAATGGGTTGTGAATGATGTTTTATGCTGACTTACTACAGTGTAAGTGTGATTAATAACCACATCCAAGTCTCACATTTCTTTAGGCAAGTAACGTTAGTACCTCAAGATGACAGTCCCTCACAAACTGCCACAGTGGATGCTCCCGAGGAAGACATCCTCTCCCCAAATTCATCCCAACCAGACTCTGAGTCTTGAGCTGGATCCCACATTTGTAAAAAAGTAGGTAACCTTAAACATGGGCAAATGGTTTTTCAAAGTCATGGAGAAAAAGTTTCAGGAATAAAGGAACCTTTAATGTATCATTACAGACATAAACAATCCACAAAGTTTGATTTAGTGCTAAGATTTACTCTGCTACAGTTAAATAGTGGTATATTAACCATTTCATAATTATGAAAATAACAGACACCCAAGTTCACTGCCAGTGTTACCTCATCAAAAGCTGAGGAGGAAGGCTTCGCTGGAGCGCAGTCATGCCTTGCTGAAGGAATCCGAGCGCTACCTCAGAGACTGTGATAGATGTGTCATTAGCTTGTAAGTTACACTTAATATTCATTTGCACGCTGCTTTTTCACATAGTCTTTTATCTATTGAATTATTAATCCATACTGATCATTTGTTTTGTCTGTGACTCCACCTGCAGACAGCGCCCTCTTATGCAGTGGATGTATCGTTGCCGCTGGATAGTCTTTGTCATTTACCTCGCTGTTCTTTGCTCAATCATTATATTAGCCATATTAGTGTGGTTGCTGCAAACCCCCGTCTTATGGATGTGAAAATTATAATAAATATGTACAGAAATGGAAATGTGATGAATATGTTAAAAGCACTGTTGATAGCTTTTAGTTACTATTTGGTAGATGTTTTAACTTTGTTTTAGGGCAAACTGTTTCATGTATAGTTGTAAATGGTCTCAGAATAAAAGTCTTGCACTGGCACTCATGTCAATGTATGCTCTACATCTGTTTTCTACAATGTCAATGTGAAATATTTGAAAATGTGACAAAAATGCACAAACCAATAGTGAGGATCTGTGATATTGTTTATTAAAGTGTATTATAAATAATATAAAATATATTTCATAATTAGTTAGTGTACAAACAGGAAGTAAAACATTTGGTATTATTAAAACTCACAGATGGATTATTCTGACAATGCATATTACAGTAGCAGAGCAACACTTCACTAATTTTTAAAAAATTGTGTTAGGAAAGGGGCAATATTAATTCACAAATAAAAAATATTATGGAAAAATAATATATTAATTCATAATGTGTTAAATTAAATAAAATCATGGGGAAACTAAGACATTACATAATACATTAATTATGACGAATCGTGTACAAGACACAAATATATACTAAAAGATGTCATTTCCATGAGGGCATTCTTTTGCAAAAGGTGGGCCACACTCTACTGACATCAATAAAAACACAATTATATTATACATTCATCATAAACATCTGGCATGATGCCTTACAAAGAAGTCTTAGACTTGAAATTTAATCACAAATGTAGGCATATATGGAATCGAGGCTCAGCTCCAACTTGGTCAAAAAGTCTCGGTGAGAATGAACATAATCAGACTACATCGGTGAGTCCATTGGCTCAATAAATAAAAATAAAGACGTACAATGAGAGTTCACTTATTCTCTGTGTCATCTCCAGGTTTCTTCTACCTGGTTACACCTGACTCACAATCTCGGAGTCTTCCTCTTCGTACCACTGCAGCGGCGTTCCATCCGAAGCCCTTTGCAGAATCACCTTCTGAGAAACCTGGATCGAAACAAGTATGCTCATCATTTACCAAGAACGGATTTCATTTACGAAACTGGTACTGATAAATGCACATATTGTCCACATCTTTACCTGTTTATGAGAGGGAATCTGGTGGTAGGGTGGCGGCACTGGGCGCTTGATTCGAATCGATCCTTGCCGTTCAAGTGAGCGGGGTATGGATATGACTATATTGTTTTTCTGGTGCCAGGTTTTAAGCTCCCCTGATACCACATCTCGAGGAAGCACACGGCTGGGGTGGTTGGGATATTCTCTTAGTGACGTCGTGCGGACCACCTTTGTGTATGGCGGGGGAGGCTTGAGCATTCGTTTGGGTGAGGTAACCTCGACTTGTTGGGGTTTATTAGTATGTACAGGATCAGATTGTGAATTCTGTCTGAGTTGCAGCCTTGCCATGTCTGCCTGAAGTGGTGTCCCATTGCTAATCTTCACTCGATTGGGGCCGGGCACGAGGTGAGGTGGGTTTTTGTTGTTGTTTTTGAGTGTACTGTAGGTGTTGAGCTGGCTTGGTCCTTTATTTGGAGCAGTGCGATGGTAGCCGTATGGAGGCGGACAGGGTTTAGGTGCCTCGGTGGTCGTCTCTCGGCTGGAGGAACTGCTGTATGAGGAAATGGAAAGCTTGGAGCTGCTGTCTTCAGAGCTGCACTGATATAAACGTTGAACTGAGTAGGCTAATGCGAAATCGGTCACTCGTTGTCGCGGCAACTTGGTCCGGCCCCGTCCCAGGTCTGAGCTGGCCTTGGTCAATTCTGGTTTGCTTCTGGGAAGCCTATTTGAGAGGAGATGATAACAGATTAGTAAGGTAAGACATTGCTGTACAAATACAAATGTTGCTAATTAATAAACTGAAACACATCAATTAAAGATATTGGTAACATTTTATTTTTTAAGGTGTCCTTGGTACACATGTTACATGTACTTACGATTATAATAACAATAAATTATGCATAATTATATGCAAGTAACCCTAATCCTAACCCAACCCATATAGTAAGTACATGTAGTTAATTAATATTACTCAGAGTCAGTACTTAAATGTATGATTACACTGTAAAAAAAACACCTTGAAGTGTAACGAAAATATTTAAATGCAACTGCTTCACTAATATTTTTAGTATGTATTTCCCAACATATTTCACTTTCACAAGTTTTAAAAACAGTCTTAATATCAATTTGAGCCATGTATTTGAAAAACAGTATTCAGGCAATCCTAAAGTACCAATGCTGTATATTAATTTACCTGAAGGACTGTGAGAACTGTCGGCGCAGTGGCAGCTCTGGGGTGGAGGGGGCGCTGTTTGGCTGATTGTTTCGCACTGGCAGACTCTTAAACACAAACTGGGGTGCTGGAGGAAGTTCTGCCATTCTTGTGTCTGTTGGTGAGCCTGTTGGACTGCTGCTGACACAGAAGCACAACTGTTTTTAATATTGATAATAATGTTTCTGCACCAAATCGGCATACTGGAATGATTTCTGATGGATCACTTAAGACTGGAGTAATGGCTGCTGAAAATTCAGCTTTGCCATCACAGGAATAAATTACATTTTACATATTTAAAATAGAAAACAGACCTTTTAAATTGTTATAATATTTCACAATATTACTGTTTTTACTGTAAGTTAAATAAATGCAGCCTTGATGAGCACAAGGAAAAATACAAAAAAGGTAACACTTTACTTAAAGCATATATGTATAATGCATAATAAAAGTCGTTTTAATGCATTAATTATGCCTTGTAATGCATCTTATAATCTCATGAATAATTGTAACCACAGTTAATACATTATCATGCTTAATTCATTGTTACACTATGCATTTTAAATTCGGTTATAATCATTTATGACAAGATATAATGTATTACAACGCACATTATCAATAATTATAATGTATTATACACTTAAATAACCCTTTATAATGCATTATACATAGAGGCTTTAAGTAAAGTGTTACTAAAAGTCTTACCAACCCCAAACATTTGAACAGTAAGGTGTATGTTAACCAAATGATCTATCAAGTACCTTTAAAACAGCTCTAACAACACAAAGTAATGGTATGCTTATATTGCAATTAAATATCTACCATGGGACTCAAAGCTAGAATATCCCACAGTACCTTGAGCGGCTGCTGCAGGCAGAGGGAGAAGGTTTTTGTTTCTGGTAGGGCTGGTCCAAGCTGGACTCCTTCCATGGAGAGTTCTGGATGGGTGAGGCATCATAGTCCAGACTGGAACTGGAGCTCGATTGCTTTGGGCCGTTATTGGGCAAGAGAGTCAGACACTGGAAACCGCTGTCTGTGGAAGACTCCAGAACGGCTGGAGAAAAGGGAGCAGAGTCTGAGTCTGTAGATAAAAGACCATTTTTCTACATTAGCAAACTCCTAGAGCAGCGGTTCTCAATTCCAGTCCTCGCGTACCCCCGCTCTGCATGTTTTGCACGTCTTTCTTTGTTAACACACCTGATTCAGATCATCTCGTTAGAAGTGAGCTCCGTGCATGAACTGTGTTCCGATTGACATGGTCCCTACACAGTGTCCATTGCTCCCTACTCCCTGAGCAGGGGAAATCCGTTGAAGTTTACTTCACTTCGAAATATTCATTTACAGATTTGCGCTGCCTGCAGCGTCTTCACACACATACGAAACTTACTAGAGAAGCGTGAAGTGGGACATAATATACCTCTGTAAATAAATACAATTTAAATTCACGTCTCGCACACTTAAATGCCCTTTGTATGGAACATATACACTCCCTTCAAACTGGAATCATGGCGGAATATTCGGACAATAATGTCCACTTCGCAGGGCACTTACAGTCAAATATAACAAACGTCTGAAGCAATAAGAGAAACATACAAAATGTGCAGAGCAGGGGTACTCGAGGACTGGAATTGAGAACCGCTGCATTAGAAGACAATTGAACATAACATGAAACTCATAAGAAAACACAATGATATCATCAAACAAAATTATATTCAAGAATAAAACTTGGTGACATTTTGGGGAGGAACTCAATCTTTGAGTTGATCTGAATCTTACAGTTGAATCTGCTGGTTTTGAAGATGAAGATGAACTTTATTCACTGTGAAAACTTTAGATAATGTTTCTTTGTCATGTCACTTGTAATGTCTGGTTAGGACAGATTTATCCAGATGATATTTTATTGCTTGATGCATTATTGTGTCACATTTGTTGAGGACGCATCAGATCTGAAAGTGCTGGATCTGAAGATGATCTACTTACTGTGAATGTTTTTTGTATGACTGTGTAGAGAAGATGATTGACTGAATTTCTTGTCACAGTGTGAACACTTGTAAGGTTTTTCTCCAGTGTGAATCCTCTCATGCTGTTTTAAACTGCTCGCTGAAGTAAAAGTCTTTTCACACTCAAAACACATGTACTCTCTCACACCAGTATGCATTTTCTGATGTACTTTTAAATTTTGTAGAAATGAAAAACTCTTTCCACACAAATAACATGAATGTGGCTTCTCCTTTGTATGAACTCTCAGGTGTGTGCTCAGGTATGAAGCTCTCAAAAACGTTTTGCTGCATTGATCGCATGTTTCTCTCCAGTGTGGATATTAATGTGTCTCTTAAGGCTTGATGATTGTGTGAAACTCTTCCCGCACTGATCACAAGTGTACGGTTTCTCTCCAGTATGAACTCTCATGTGAAACTCAAGATGATGTTTGCGTGTGAAACTCTTTCCACACTGAGTGCAGGTGAAAGATTTCTTGGCTCTTCTTTTCTTTAAATCTTTCTGTTTGGGTTTTTCTCCACTTTTGACATGATTTTTCTCCTCAACTTCACTCAATTCTTCATTCTCCTCATTTTCTTCAATTGACTCTGAAATTAAATTAAAAATTGTTCTTTTTTTTAGTAACTCATAAAAAAACAAAAAATAAAAATAAACTGTGAAAGGACATAAAAATTAACAATGATATAATAGCGGAAATAGGGCTAAAACAGAAAAGTGAAAGGACATGAAAATGAACAGCAGAAAGTAGACAATTGCATTACAAAATTTTGATCATTTTAATGTAATTTTATAAATTATACTTCCCTGAAACTTTCCATGGATGAGGTACATTGATCTACAAATTATTATTTTAAAAATATAATAGGCAGAAATCTCATGTTTTATAGGGAGAACTGTTTAATGTTTGTTCAACAACATGAAGGATGTGAGGATCCTCAAATACAAACTGTGTGTTGCATCAAGACAGCGACCATACATTTGTGTTGTTTTTAGTGTCTTGTTTTTACTCAATTATAACAATTTAGTCGTATACTCGTTTATAATCATTAGCCATTTATGTAATTTATTGTTAGATTTTTTTTATCAAACAATACATTATCATTTACCATTTAAATAATTTTATTATTTGATAATTTATTCATTCATTTTTTTTTATATGTTTCTTATTATTTTCCTTGCTTATGTATTTTCATTGTTTAATCTGATGATTGTGAGGTTTAATTAACTGTTTTGTCTGAATGAAAAAGAGATAAGAGGGAATGTTAATGGAAACTCAAGGTTTATGGGATGTTGTGTTTGGTAAAACAATACTTGTTGGATTTGTGCTGTTCAGATGATGTCTGAGCATTGAAACATAATCAACTAAGATTTTTCAATAAACTTAGCTCCTTTTTATGATCATCACTTTGTCTCCTGCTTCTGCTCTTCTCTGGCTTTGCTCAGTCCACTTCTTGGTTGACAGTGTTAATATAGTTTAGACTTGATGTTAATGGGTTATGGGTTTCGACAACCCTGCTGACTATTTGTTCAGACTGCAGACAAAAAAAGATATTTTCTGATAGGATCTGGCATCTGAGACTGGATCTTAACGATTTGATGCTCGTCTTCACTTGTGAACTGATGGAGATATTCCAGCATTTATTGCTGAATTACTGTGGGAGGAGTTTCACTGATGATGTGTTGCAGTGGGCGGAGCTGAGCTGCCAAAATAAAAAATAAAAATATATCAGTTTTTAATATATCTATTACTGTATCCAGATGTCAAATTTTTGTGTCTGCATCAAATTAAATTTACAAAAGTGATTTTATACAGATAGCAAATCAATTAAATGCAAGTGTCTATATGTTTTCAAATATTTTTTGTGAAAACAAAATGTCAAAATATAGGTGAAATAATGTTCCATCATCATTCAGCGATATATCAAACAGATATATTTATGTAAAAATGAAACAATATAGTTATTCTGACCTGTAAAATATGTAAAAGAAAAGTGACTATATTCTATTACATTTTAAATTATTGAAATTGTATTGCTAACAATTGGGTAAAACCTAGTAATGTGAGGGATAGTGGCAAAATATAAAGATTGAAAATATCAATTAATGAATATTTTGGTGCTACACTATATGTAGGGTTTTCAGCTCTAAAAAGGGAAATATTTATGACTAATTATAACTGGTTATGATTAATAATAAATATTTAGATTATATCTTCGAATTAACTGTAGCAGAATCAATATTACAATTATTTGATCTGTCCGTCCACCGAGCAGACAATATAATCATTTATCAATTCAAGGAACGATTATTTTCCTGGCCAAGGAAGAATAATCTGTCCTTCTTTGTGCAGTGCTAGCAGTAATTTAGCAAAATGTAGCAAGGGTTCACACATTCATTGACTTCGAATTGTGAGCAGCAAACAGAGACAATCCGTTGTGAATATAAGGGATTTAATAAATGAAACTATATCTAACATATAACTAAGCAAAACACTTCTACATACACAGAATGAGACAAAGTAAGGAAAAGAGAGAGAATAGAAAAAGAATGGCAGTATT